TTTAGACCAGCAAAAGAGTAAGAGCGAGCATCTAGTTTTGAGGGAGTGATTTGGTGTTTTGAGGTTCCATCAAAACATCTTCTATTCCTCTCGTTCCAAACAACCCAGAAGGTAGCAGCAGGGATCATTAGCCTGATCCTTTTGATGGTTTCATCTCTCCACAAGCTCCACTTAATATGTGCTTCTTTTATGGTCTGTGCCATGACCCATTTCAATCCAAAGATGCAATATAACATGCGAAACACCACTTCCACCTATCAAACTCTTATCTTTCTTTTGTCTATCTTTCCCTTTTCTTTCACCCTGTCATTTCAACTTCATCACCCCGCCAGAATCCTATCTCCCTTATTCTTATCCTCAAGCTTTTTTTCTTGCAAGGAGATGCTAATGCTGGACCTTCAAAAGTTGGAGCAGATAAAGTACTACTTACAGAGATCCTAAAATTTCTACCAGCTGTTCTGATTCCTCTGAACCTATGTGTCTACACCAAAATAAGAGAGATACATTACTATTCCATTTAGCCTTGTGAAAGGACTTGGATGTTTCTTCAAAATTTCTACAATTCCTCTCTCTCCAAACTGTCCACCATATGCATGGGGAAATAATCTCCACGTAGCCTTCTGTCTCTTGCTGCTCCCCCTAATCCAACAACTCAACAGGCATACTCCACTTAGTTTTCTGTAGTTGAAAAATATGGCCCAAATCTGTGCTGTGGAACTGCAGTGCAAAAACAAATGATTGTTGGTCTCTTCTGTCTTCCCACACAGTGAACATCAAGATAGTATAGTCATTTCTTTCTTCTTCAGGACTTCATGTGTTAGGCAAGCCCTCAGAACCAACCATTTAAAACATTTTACCTTGGTAGGTGCTGAGTTTCTCCACATGTTCCTTCACAAGCTTTACTGGCTTCTGCTATGCTGGTTGCTATCCAATCTATAGGCCATGCTAACAGTGAAAGCCCCATCATCACTGTGATGTGATCAGTCAAATTTATATCTTTGCAAATTAGCTTTCTCGATATTGACAAATGAAGCTGAGAGGGTATTATGTTAGCATCATAAGCAGTTTTCTCCTTGCTTTGTTCTTCTTTCTCTCTCGTGCAGGCTTAAACTTTCCTTCAAGATGGAGTAATTTCTTAGCCATGTTAAACACTTGTATTTTATTTGTATCATCGTCTTTATGTTCAAGAATTAACTCAAAACTGAAGAATAGACCGAAAGAACATGAAAACCTCAGAGAGTCACAGCTTGTTCAGTCTTGGTTCTACAGGATTTCTGATTTTCTTGGTTTGACCAATTTTTTCTTTGTGAAAAATAGACTTGTAGCCCATCCAGTTGTGTGGCAACTTTGTTAAACCAGTTGAACTGATTTGTCAGTACCATTTTTGAAAACATTGCTCCTAGCTCATTTCAGTTAAGGTTTATAATGCATCTAGATCGGAAACAGCTTCTTTCTCTCCGAAGGTAGCAGTAAGGTCTACATACACTCTACCTTCCCATACCTCATTTGTGGGATTACATTGGGTATGTTGTTGTTGTAGAGTCTTTTGTGGATGACCTACTTATCAAAAAAAGAAGGGGAAACCGTCTACTGTGTTTCACCTGTTTCGGTTCTATCAATAGCTTTTGCAGTTGTGTATACGAGATTTTGAATTGTTTTACCTAAACTTATCGTTAGCTGCATTGTATAGCATTTTCTTAATTTAAATTTCTTTTCCAGGTCTCCCGTATATCAAAGAAAAATGTTTGCTTCGTTATGTTTGTGGATGAAGTTACTCTAAAAACTCTTACAGCTGAAGGTAAGATGCCAGACAGCATGGGCTTTGTAGGTTTATGGAAGATCGTAGTTGTAAAGAATCTTCCATTTTCTGATATGCGGAGAGTGGGAAAGATACCAAAGTTATTGTCTCATCGACTCTTTACTTCAGCCAGGTAACTGGAATTACAATCTTGTATATTATTTGTTTGTGGTATGCTACTGCTTATATTCTTCTTATATGATACCATGCTATGGTTAGTTAGCACTCAATATTCACTTCCAATCAGGGGTTTACCAAATCAAAAAAATAAAAGAACAAAAGAAGGAAAAAACAAATTCGTTCTCAATGCAATTAGTTGTCTGCTAGCTTAATATTTAATTTAAGGGACATCATTTGTATTTGGTACATTCTCAGCATTAGCTTCATGCTTCCTGCAGTGCAGCAAAATACCAGTTCCATTAGCATCTTTTTTTATCTAGTTGAAAAATTGTTGCGTGCTTTTTTCGAATATTAGATTGAGGATAGCTTCTTATGATGGTTTGGTTTTTAGTGGGGATTAGTCTCACTGTAGTGGCAGAACTTCAAGTAAATAATTTCTCTTTTGGGTTTAATGTTTTTTCACTTTGAGTGGTGCAGCAATGTGTTGTTTTCACCATTTAAAAGATATTGTGTAGACAGAAGTCAACCGATGAGTGCAAATGTACTAGTTTCTGCAAATAATCAAAATGCTAAGATGGTACTGAATAAGAGACTGTTGGAATTTGGTCTACTATCGATCGGCAATAATTACCCTTTCCCTTCTGTTTACTGGGGACTAAACTATATTTGGAAAAGTCAATTATGTGAACTGGCAATTCCATAACTATAGTTCAGAGGATTCCTAGTGCTAATTTTGAATCAACTCATTGGTGCTCTCAACTTTGGTAGCTATTTTTTTAGGATTCCATAATTTGCCTGGGTTTCTGCTTTCCCTTGTTTGTGTGGTGGTGTTGGGAAAGATACAACCTAAAATGTTAATGACACACATCTCTCAGCCTTCATCTTACTGCTTGCCTACCCCTTTTCTTTCCTTTCCATATTTATCCAACATGTAGTGGATACCCACTGTCATATAATTTACTCCACATTGCATGTAATAGAATGCAGTATTATCTCTGAATGGAGTAGCAAAGGGTGAATGATGAGGTCATCTAACCCACTAGTGATACTGTTGTAAAATGCTCTTTTATCCTCTCTTTTGGGCCTTCCATTTCTATGCATATAATTGTTTGCTTGAACTTTCTAAATTTCTGTTTGTTTGTTAAAAAGTTGAGATGCTTGCATGTGAATTGCGTACTGAACCACCTCTCTCTAAAGAAAGAGGAGGTGGAGGGGAGAATTTCTATCGTAGTAGCTTATAATTTTATTTTATTTTTTCAAAAACATTTTACAAGCATTTTCATTTGAAATTATGCAGGTATTCAATATGGTTAGATAGCAAGCTTCGGCTGCAGCTTGATCCCCTACTCATATTGGAGTACTTTCTGTGGCGTAAAGGTTATGAATATGCAATTTCCAATCACTATGACAGGCATTGTGTGTGGGAAGAAGTAGCCCAAAACAAGAAACTTAACAAGTACAATCATACTGTCATAGATGAACAATTTGCATTTTACCAGGCTGATGGATTGCAAAGATTTAATGCATCTGATCCAAACAAGCTTCTTCACAGCAGTACGTTCACTGTTCTATATTTATTTTCTTGCAATACCTTTCTGCTTCTGTGTTCTTATTGGCTAAATGTCATTACATTTTTCTGACAGATGTACCAGAAGGATCTTTTATTGTGAGGGCTCACACACCAATGTCAAACTTGTTTTCTTGTTTATGGTTCAATGAGGTTGACCGGTTTACTCCCCGTGATCAACTGAGTTTTGCATATACATACTATAAGTTGAGAAAGATGAACCCAGACAAACCTTTTTATCTCAACATGTTCAAGGTGAGAAATTTAAGTTCCTTCCAAGTGCAACTGTAGAGATAGACAACCTTCCCTTTTCGTCTAACACTTAGTATGTGCATTGTAGGATTGTGAAAGGCGAAAGATAGCTAAGCTGTTCCGTCACAGATCAGATGAGCAGAGGAATATTCTCTCTCAATCTGAGACAGAGTAAAAGCTGAGTGACTCCTGGTTTTGGCTGATGATTCAATTTTTTTGTTATACGCGTCACTATATTGTAGTTGCTTGCTGGAAAGAGGGTCATCGTGCCATAGCCATTGTGATTGTGTCTGTTGTACATTACCAAAATTCTCTAGAGAAAGTGATACACATGCCAGCCCTATCGATATAAAGCAACGCAAGGTGGATTCTGCTGGCTCATCATCTCATCTTTCTGGTGCAAAGAACATACTACCACCATTACAGCTTCCATTCTATTAATTTCATTGCCTTGACCAACTCCTAGTGTTAAAGCAGCATCCTATTAATTTTCCATTGTATCTACATGAGTTGGTGAAGAAAATACCTGATACTATATGTATTCTTTTTCTATGAAGCAGGGTGCCAATTTATTGTTTCTAATATTTGGACCAATTGATACTATTTACTCATTCAATTTATAGTCTTATCATGTTTAATTCCAACTTTTAAGTGGCTTCACCCTTTGTGATGAGCACACTCACTATTTACACCAATCATGATGGATAAAAATTAAATTATTGAATGAGAATTAACGTATCTTAATAAAACTTGTTGCCAATGTATTAATTACATAGATGTGTATTTTTTTTCCTCAATAGAAGGGAGCTTTGGAGCAATTATATATGGGTTTGAGTCGTTGAGGCAACTACTTATACTTGCATTAGGGATTTAGGGTAGATTGTTTACATCATACTTCTCGATATGCGATCCTTCTCTGAATTTTGCCATAGAATGTTTTCTGAGTCGATTTCTTTTTCTTTCCTCTTAGAAGGTTTTGTTTAACAATATAGAGGGGTTTGTAGTATGCTATAATTCTCGGTCACAACTACTACTTCCTTCGTTCTAATTTATGTTAATTCATGTGGTAGTGTTTGATTTAGTATAAAACAAAAACATTAAAAAAGAAAGGTTTTTTACATCTTATTATTTGAAATAAGTGATTGATATTTGTATGATATATATTTCATTAAGGATAAAATAGAAAGTGAAATTAAGAATTGATATATAAATTGTGGCAAATTAAGAATTGATATATAAATTGTGGCACATGGAGTTCAGTTATATTATATAATTAATAGTTAATTAGAAAGTTACGATGATAATGTCATATAAAGTGGACCATATATATATATATATTAACCAACTCTGCCCTTGAAAAAAAATGAAGAAGAAATATATACAAGAAGTAAAGTATGACTTATCTAAAAATTCCATTGGCTTTACCAACCATTTGGAGCAATTTATTCCTTCCTTTTAGCACCTCTTCAAATACTTGATCAACTTGTAATTCAAACTTCTCCAAACCAGGCTTTAGAGCTATAGATTTCTGAAAAATAACATCTTTAATTCTCTTTATTTCTTCTTCTTCATATCCACTTTTAAACTTTTCTTTTGCTTCCACTATTGCCTTCTCCATTTCTTCATACTCATAAAATCTTATTACTCCCCTTTCTCCATCTTTGTAATATTTCCTTTGAAATTCAGTGGCAAGTTCATTAACTGAGTCCTTGAATGACTTAATTGGAGAAGAGTACTTGCAACAAATCCTATCAACAACTTCAACCTTATAATTCTTAGTTGGATACATAAAAACATTCAAAAGAATGTAAGATAATAAACTCATTGCAACTCTAATTGTGCAAACCAAACTTGAACAACAATCTCTTTGCATTTCTTGAATAAGAATACTCTTGTTGTCTCTTTGTACAATTGGTTGCATACTGGCAAATGCTTTAGCCTCATGATGATTTAGATTCTTGATTGTAGTATCAATTGTTAAATGATACATGTTGATCTTAAAACTTGATGACTTCAACATGTTACAAAGCTCCATGATGTTTAAACTCTCATTCATGTATAGATTCAACATGTCATCATTGATCCATGTAAAATGTATTCCCTTTGATTTCTCCAATATGATGAGAAGAAATTGAGAGTGGAGTTTTTTCAGTAGAGTCATGGCTTCTACACACCATTGAAGAGTTAAAGAATTGTTGGATAGTAGTGATGATTGGAGATTCTTGATTTCTTTGGTGAATGAAGCAAAGAGAGCCATAGTTTCACTATTTGTAATATGAAAGATGCATTTTCTTTGGTGAAATGGAGAAAGACAAGCTGCGAATGTCCTTCCCATTACTTACATATTATAACACAAGAGAAAGATGCTTACTTTGGGAGATTATCAAAGGGTGGAGAAGTAGATAAAGAGGTGAATTAGTAAGGTGGAAAAGTGGGGGTGGGGGGATTTGGTGGTAGGGGAAAGATGCAAGACATGCATTCCTTGTTTAATATTTACCATCAAAACTAGCATTTTAAATCTTGTACTTTATATGCTTTGTTCCCTTTTTTCCTCAAGAATAAATAATAAATTTAATTTATATATACTGACAGCACATTTAAGTTCTGGATTTAAAGATAAAACAGGCTATCATACGATCGTTTGAGTTAGTTTATTAGGGTTGTTATGACAAGTAATACTATCTTAGTCTAGGTTAACTTAACATGATAATAATTTCTACAACCATCCTTAATAACAATCAAGTTTTATCGGAAATCATTTTTTTTGGTTATTTTACAATATATCACCCTTTATAATAAATATTTTACTACAATGAAAAAATATTCAAACAAACAATGTTTCGAAAAGTTTGGAATTGTGGTGAAAGGGGGGAATAAAGAAGAATGCTTGGAGATAAAGCAAGAAAATTAATAACTTTTTGTTAAACAAAAAGGAAATGAAAAATAAAGACAATGAGGTGAAGTCACGCAATGTGTTTTGGAGAAAAGGGAGGAATTTGTCTCAAAGTGATATTATATTTATAGAATTTATCCTTTTGCCACTTGATTTGTGCTTCTCCCTTTCCTTACTTACAAAAACACATTTGTTAACTTTTACGTGGCCTTTTCTCTAACTTGTGTCTTTCAAAATTTTGATAGGGACTTCTCACCTATATTATTTTTTATTTTTAAAAGTCTTTGAGATAAAAAAAAGATTCACAACTTTAAGGAAAACTATAAACTATTGAGAAGTAGCTACCTCCTTTACTTTCATACCCTCTTGTTTTTTACTATTAATACCGGTTTACTATTTAATATCATCAAAGTATATATATAAGAGGAAGAAATATTGTTTCAATGAGAACACCATTCAGTTAATCTTTGATATCATTAGAACATATACTTTGATGGAATCAAAAGGAATATACAATGTTCAAGTTAAAAGACTGCTCAATTACGGGTTGATACCATCAGAGCATATATATATTATAAAAATGGTGGTTCAGTGAATAGAACAATGGAGCAGTCGGGTCATTGTTTGGGCCGTGGATCTCAGGATAAATGTATTGGATTGGGTCCAATTTGAGTAAATATTTTGCCTAATAGATCCAATTTGCGTAATATTCTCAAATATCTACGCCGTACTTAATCACTATAAGAATGACATACCTACAGTTTGAAAAAAAAATAGAAAAGAGAAGTAATAAAAAGAAAATCAATCTTTAACTGATTTGCGTTGCAACAAAACCAAATTATTCATCAAAAGCACTAGGCTTTTGGTACTTAAAAATATATATATATATAAAAAAAAAAGAGCTCAAATCATTTATATCGATTTAATTAAGTGAAGTAGTTCCAACTATTCTACAACCACAAAAAAACATTGAAACACTTCTCCAATTTTTAATCAATCGGAAGTTTTTCAAAGAAGAACTCACAAGAGAGACTTAGATGATCGAAAACTAAGTGGTTTTACTTACCATTGCCATTTCAAGTGTTGTTGGACCAAACTAACGTCTAGTCTAGTCGATCTTCCTTTCAAGTGTCTTCCTGAACCAACGACTCTTAACATGTATCTAGTTGATCTTCCTAACGCAGTTAACGTATGTGTAACTTGAGAAAGAAACAAATAGCTTGCGAAACCTGAAAAGGTAAACCCAAAAGCAGTTACGACAAGGCTTGTGTGTGAACTGCAGTCTAGCAAACGTTATAAGCATCTGGTTATGCACTGATGCATTAGACCCAAGAGTGTATTCTGCAACTACATTTCTACTGTGTGATAAGTTAAAATCAAGAGGATTATAGATGTCTCTTATAGATAATTTTCTTTATACTTGATGTGTCTTCAGTCTTCTCACACTCATAAAATAACGTAATAAAAATGTCTGGAAAGAGAAACTGGGAATAAAAATTTCCGTTTAGTTCTTTCCAAACTTTCCTTACTCATGTATCATAGCAAGACAAATAGCAAGGATATTACATACCAAACCCACTGACTCCTGTGCTGAGCCATTGCAGCTAAGCTCCTTCCGGGATGTACGTTTAGAAAGCAATGTGCCACTCCACTAAAATGGAACTTGGCAGATAGGAGGGACAACCATATGTCAACTGGTCCACTGTACTTGCGCAATATGCTAGTGCTAACCTGAAAAAGATTTATCATGAAGCTCCCACATTAAACCTTAGACCATAAAGTTACGATTGGAAAAGATGCCAATCAGAGTGTCATAAAATTCAAAAACAATTAGCATCTAAATTTTTCTAGCTATGATATTCCCAAGAAAAAGATGAGCTTAAATGAAACAAAATGGTCGGTGAGAATTTATATAGTTGACTTCAGCTTGCTTGAAATAAAAAACATACACTTAGTTGTTGTTGCTGTAGTATGATAGTCCCAAGAAACTAAAATAGAAGTCTACAAGTAGTACCAAAAGTAAAGAGACAAGGAAAGAACTCACAAGCTCCCAGGCCTCAACTTCTTTATGTGAAGTATCTTGCAATAGTTTTCTGCATATAAAGAAACCATTTTATAAAGATGAGCTACTAATTTTAAGCATTACATATTTCAAACCAAATTCTAGAAAACTAATGGGAGAAGAAATATACTACAACGACAATTACACCTCTCAATCCTAAATCCAATTCAAATAGACCGTATGACTCTCACTAGCCGTACTGCTCTATAGAAGCTCATCTCATGCTGATATTATTAAACAATAAAAATGGAAAGAGACAAAAACTACTATAATTCTCTGCAAGGGCCAACTTGATCCTCTTCCCCAGAGATCTCAGATGAGGGAACCTTGGGTGTAGTTTATACTGGTATATAAATCTCTGATATGACTAAAAGACTCCAAGAATATAGGACCTAAAGTAAACGTGCTAACCTAACTATCATAATGGGAGAATTAGAATTACGGTTGAGTTAATTGGTTGAATCTTGAAGAAGATATATTTTGAAGTCCTACATCTACAGAAGAGTGTCCAACTCATCAATCTTTTTCTTGTCATACAAAATACACATGTTATCGGCATGTTTATCGGCATGTCAATCAATTATAAATTCAACAAAAGGAAAGTAAAGAATCCCTTACAATGATGCTTGTTTAAAATACTAAATCATGTATAAAAGATATCAAACTAGAAAGAAACAGGATCACTATGAAACTTTGCTAGTATTAAATATCACTGTTAATCGTCAATACTAAATAACTCTCTTTATAACATCTGCAAGAACACTTCCAAGTAATACCAAAATATGGTGGCTAATTTCATTTGCAGAAATTACTACCAACGGCTACCAGAATATAATGAATAACTTACCGTACACCTTGATGAACATCTTGATGGTTACAGTGACCTGAGACTCCATAATTATCAAAAGTTATGACCTGGAAAACAAGTGTCCATGAGATGAAAGGTGACATAAATAACATTTCCCTGTGGTCAAAAATAACTCGTAAGGCAACACATTGAATACAAACAAAAGGAAAATCTTAAAAAATCTTAAGCTACTTGAAGACAAATATATCACAAATCTTATTCATCAATTTGTTATCAAAATGGCTTGCCATTGTCCATTGTTATATAACAAGGAATGTCCAAGTGATAGATGCTATTTTCTCGAATGGAGTTTGCAACATTTTCTTTCTTTACTTCCTTGAGAGCAACAACTTCTGCCCATCTAGTCCCAAATTGTCAAATGGCCAAGATGCAACAGTGGGTGTAACGCTTCAGGTGGCTGATGTATAAAATTTTGCATGCAACTAACAAGTTTTACATCTTCTAGCATAGTCCAAGCAATATTTCACCATTGTTGGCAATAATATCCCATCCGTTTTATGTGGAAGTAGAGTTTTAGCGCAACTTGATGTGATCCACACCCCAGAATATGTTCTTGAAAAGCTTGAAGAGGTTCATCCTCCTCCAAACATTGCAAGAGTACTCCATTGAATGATCTTCTAAACGAAGTATTTCTGTAGTCAGGGAAGTGGGTGCACTAAGACAGATTTCTGTTCTTCACTTCTTCTGGGATTTTCAAACAGTATCCCATAGGCCATACTCAAGTAATCAATGATGAATTTTCGTCAATTTTCCTTCTCAACCTTATAAATGATTGCGAGATGCTCAAGCCTAATTTCTTCAATTCCATCCTTAACCGGCAGCAATACTACCCATTTTTGGCAGATAATAACTTGTGTTTGATCAGGCAGGGTCGATGTAGAAGCTAGAGCAGTTCATAGATCAAAGGGTACAAATTTCTCTATAAGTTGCAAGTATTTCAAGTGTTCTAAGTATTCAAAGGTCAAGATCAAGCTCCAAGCGCTTGGATTAAAAGCCACAAAGTTCAAGACCAAACTCGAAGGCCCTTGAATTTATTTGAAAAAAGAAGAATCATTTTTGAGATTGTAATATTGACTGTATTGAAATAAAATTCCACACTTATTTACAACATTTTGCAGTCTTGATTATTTTCTTGACGAAAAATTATTGTCTAAAATGTGAACCGTGAAATAGGCAACCACTGCATTATTCCCTAAATCAGAACTTCATGAGGTTACCCCATATTTCTTTATGGGAGATTCAGCTTCCTTTCTGAAAGACTGTCCTATAGTATACCAAACATTAAAGCTTGCATAAATACAAGAGTCTATCACATTAAAACTATGCACTCGTTTCAAATGTACATGGTATATTTGGTAGACTGGAGTAAGGAATATGTAATCCTTCTAGGGTTCTCGATTTAAAATCCAGAATATTAGGCCCCAACAAAATCATAACGGATTCTTCCGTATAAACTTCAATTAAGTAGAGGGAAAATCAAATTAAATTAGTTCATCGCAACTGAAATAGGAATAATGAAAACTATATTCTTTAATATTCAACAAAAATGAACAAATAAACGAAGGATATACCTTGAGATCAAGATTTTAATATAGTGAAGTAGGAAAGCCACTTATAGAATGAAGTCAATGGGAGGAAGCTTAAATTTAGAACAACCAAAGAAGCACAAGCTACTGAAGGTTACTTGAAAAGGCATCAAGGTGAACTAGATAATTACTGAAATCACTAACCAAATCAATTGCACAATTGACAATTTCCTCCTTGATAATCTTTGACAGTAACTTAGAGTTCCATGATTTGCCAAAACCATCCTGGTGAGAAATAAGCATTAAAACTCTACTTAGACATTTAAGAACATAGAGATATACCATTTTGATACAATGAGAATACCTGTAGATCTGGATGGTCAAGGACTTTCACTTGCTTTTGTGGAACCTACATGAGTAATTAGAGAACAGAAAGATCAACGACTGAAATCTAACTGCTTTCTCCAATATTTTACAAGAATTTCTGTTATAGCAATTCACAGAAATAGAGGAATGCGCTAACAATTGCATTAAAGCCAACATAAAATATCAGAGAACTAGCATTAATGCATCGCTCAGATTTCTATTCAGATAAAATTTCACATCACCTTAAGCACAACCGAGGCTAAATAAAGTTCTTCTTTTCTGACATCGCCTATACCATCTGCATTACCTATATTTCAATTCAATGCGACAAAGCAGAAACAATATACTGAAAGTTAGCATCAGTAATAGACTATTGGTTATCTAGGATAAAGAGTAAAGAACAGTTCTAGTGATTTATGTTCTGATCGATTAAAAACTTAAAAGTTGCAAATAGCTGCAATAAGTCAAATCCAGAAAGCGAGCCTAAGGTTTAAGAAACACTGCTTGAACTGGATCATACTTCTTTAAAAAATCAATTGCTTAAATATTTCAACCGGTTCAAAAATCAACATTTCATTTTATTACTTTTTGCGTCTTGAGATTTACCGCAAGTCAGCAATCAAAATACACATGCCACTCAATACTTAGGCATAACGGAAATTTTTGGATTTAGCATCTGCAACATAAATTGAAATATTCTAAGAGCATTACCTTTTGACATGCATAATATGTGCAAATTACATCCTCTTGAAGACAAATAATTAATGGTTGGAGTAAAGAACCTGCAGTATGGAGTTAAAAGCACCATAAGTCATTGTCCTCTCACTTTGTACAGCAAATAGATACAATATTGATTACTTAAGATTGCCTAAACATTAAAAGGTCATTATACCATATGTAGGAAACTGACATCTATAGTTAGAGACAAGTTAACAATCAACTCACATCAGCTAACATTGAGAGTTGTGATCCTTCTTACCAACTACTCCCTCTGTTTCAATTTGTTTGTCTTACTTTCCTTGTTGGCCTGTTTTAAAAAGAATGTCTTTCCTTTTTCGGCAACTCCTAAACTCTAAAATTTTCACATGGCATGTTTATGACCGTGCAATTAAAGAGAAACAAATTGAAACGGATGGAGACTATTCTAAACACAACTTGGAAGGAAAAACTATTGTCCAAGGTAGGAATGCTTCTCTTAGAACAAGCATAAAGGAAATTTGATGAACTTTAGAAAAAGAAAGGAATGTCATTTTTTTTAGGACTGTAGATTTTTCATGTATCATATGTATGAGGACATCACATGCTTAACAAAACAAACAAAAACAGAAAGATTGAAATCATTATTTGTATAAAGACAAATCATTATCCAGTTCTTAAATGACCTATTTACAAAGGGGTAAAAATTGAATCTTATAGTTTAGCCCACCAAAATTCTAGTCCACCACGTTTCAAGATGGACGTATGAATTCATGGAGACTCATTAAGTTATTATTCAGTGAATGCACCTACGAGTTCAACTAATTAAATTTTGTTTCAACTGAGCAACTTTGCATTAGAGTATAACTAGACATACATAGGGCTCACATAATCTTGATCAAAAGTAACATACAGTTCCAAGTGTCTTAGCCTGCAACTCCCTCTACAGCAATTCAAGAGTTTGCATTTCTCAAAAAAATTATGACAGGAACAAATAACAACTCAAAGTTAAGAGTTCAACCTTACATAGACTCATCATCCGGATGGGCAATAATCAACAACACGTTTCTCTTGCAAAAAACCCCACCTGAAACATAAAAAGAATTTCATATTAAGGGAAGCAATTAGCTAATCCTAAAAAAGAAGGAAGCAATTAGCTGTACAACAAACACTACAGGGAAAGCTACCATCATTCAAAACTTTAACTTGTGAGGCAGAGAGAGATTCGTGAAGAATTTTAAAGAGTGAAGCCACCCACAGCACAACCACTGTAACGATGATTACTAGCCACTCCATTTAACTTTTTTACCAGCAGACCTACATATAGCACAGAAGTGTATCTGCATGTAAATCTGAAATGAGTAGTATTACTAAAACCCATTATAGTAAGTAAATTGGTACTTTAAAAAGAGAAATCAAACACCAATAATTCAAGGAGATCATGGATACTACCAACTATAAGCCTTATAACAAACAGTATCCTCTACATTACAAGCTTTTTTTGTCAACACTTGTTGAAAGAAAGTAGGATGGGATGGCTTTTTGGGTGTAATCTGGCACAAGCTTTGTGTTGTTTCATGTTTACACTACTACTTACAATTCAAAAAAAAAATAGAATGGAGAAAGCACGACAAAAAATTAGGTACTAAAACTGCATTTTGCTTTTGCTCGTTGCTTCCTGATGATAAATATGGATTTAAAATGTTCACATAATTATATAATCTGCATTTTACATTCTGAGTGTCAAACATGATATATTCAAGAGTGAAGATCACTACAGATATAAGGACTTTATTCTTACCGGATGACGTGATAAGACTACATATAAAGATTACAAGGATATATCAGGAGAAATCATGACCACCTAACATTGACGGGTTGTCTTGGACTAGAAGAGTAGAAAAGGAGATTTAGTGGGAACGAAAGAACAAAAACAAATTATTTCATTTAATTTTATGTGAAGGTGTTAAACTGGGCACAAAACTTAAGAAATTAAAGAGAACTTTTGACAAGTAAAGTATATGCAAAGTACCAAAATTACCCATTTAAATGAGTGGTGTGGAGAGTTCCCGTGAAGCCACAGGAGAGCTGTGATTTTTCCAAATAACCAAGTAGCTGCTTGGTTTCTATTTCCCCTTTCGAGGTTCTCTTTATACAGAAAATGAAATGGAGAGCCAAAGAGCTTCTCTCCTTCATACCTCCCTATCTTTACCCAGCAAAAGACTTGATTTCTCCTTTATAAATAGTGTTTGGGGTCCTTGTCTTGCTATCATTTACACCGTCTTGGTCCCAACATATCATTCCTTTCATAAAATAGGGAGTAATAGGCACACCCCCCCACCTGGTATCCCTAAGTAAAATTCAAAAATAAGATTGTTCATAATTCCCCCTACCCACAGCAGTGGTCTTGGCTAATAAATCCCATCAAATATAAGTAACGATTCAATCCTTCACATGACTGATCTAAAGCCAAGTGTTCAGCTGTCTTTCCACTTCGAAGTCATTCCATATTCCAGTATTACATCTTTTCCTATATCATGTTGTCCAACAAGAACAGAGGCAACAGCTATACTAATAGATATGCTCCAATGCTTCCTCAAATATGTGACCAAATTAAGATGCAAAGGATTACTAAAGATTCACCCTTCAATCCATCACTTATGTACTAACTTTAGTAGACTTGCTCCATCAATTTATACTCCTTTGATGCTCACATATATCTTATTTGTTCCCTACAACATATATCCAATTTAATTTGGTCTTTCACCTTATACAACCCCACAAATGTGAGACATTCAATGAGCTGTCACCCATAATTGGTTCTTGGGTTGTTTCAGTTTACATGCTTCGTTAAGGTTTTAATTGGTTATGGAGCTTTAAATGACTTCAATTTGAATATCTTCTTACTTATTATCCTCAATAGGCTCCAAACAAGAATTAAATTTCATGTTCTACATCTTGAATCAGATATACATCTGTGTATATTCCGATTTCTTTCTACCATACGAAATGCTCTCTTTTCAAGTGTTTAGCTTTACTTCCATAGTTGAGTATGAGTTTAATTTATTTAAATCCTGAAAAATGTGAAAAGATGGTTTTTTTTTGCCTTCCATGATATTACATTTGGTTTACTACAATTTGCATTGGAATTGTTTGAGAAATGGCTGAAAGAATGCTGTGCATGTTTGAGGACTCTGTTATAGTTCAAAACGATAGTTAAACTTTGGTATATGTATGCATTTCCATAAAACCCAAGGTATTCTAAGCCATTAGTTTCTTTGCTTTTGCTTTTCTTGTTCTTTTACTAACAAGAGTCTAGTCTAGTCAAACAGACCTAGGATTTGAAGCACTATGTCGTGCATCACACTACCTGTTGGAAAGCATACAGAAAATACTTCATCATGAACACTTGTAGGGAATTTTCATAGCTTGACGAGTGTCAAAAGACATTGTCTTTTAACACAAACCTGCTAGCGGCATAGAGTCTACAAATAGATTACCTTATTTGGTCGATGTTGGATTAATTCGATAAACTAATGGGTCACTAAACTGAAACTAATCCATCTTCCCAATAAGAGCTTGTTATAATCTAAAGCATCCTATAATGGGAAATTTTGCCTCAATTCTTTTATTAAAAATACCCTAAATTCATAAATGAAAAAAAATTGAGGCAAAACCCCCAAAGTTCCTTTGTTTGCCCCTCTCCATTTGTTTGGTATCCAACCCTTTCACACAGAGGCGGAGGAGCCATGATTTTCAATAAGGAAGTTTAAAATCTGTAGAAATAGACAGATGAAATACCTAAAGGGGGTTTGATATCTATTATATGTACATATAAAATTATCTTAACCATGTATAATTTATATAATTGTTCGTTGAAGGGGATTGAATGAAATGGTAAAGACAAGGAATACACTCATTTGATCAAACAGAAAAGAGAAAGGATTCTATGATCAATTAAACTATCTGTTCACATTTACACTGCAAATTCTCGCATTATCCAAACAGGGTTTCACTATATTATGAATATTTGTGCTATCGAATAAATCTCAAAATACCATAACATAGCAGCAGGTGAATTTAAAGAGGGACTATAAACGAATGCAAATCAGAAAAGATACCTAAGGAGAGACAAAAAATCAGATCAAAAGCAAATCAGCAGTGTTTGCTTTAGTATATAAAAGCAGAGATATTACCTGAATATAGAAAAATCAGCAATGGTTCAGAGCTGATCCAAAATTTATTTGTGAGAGAAATTTATATATTTTTGTATTACTTATCTGGTTTTATTTTGTGTAACATTTTTTTGAAATTTAAAAAAAGAACTATTTTCGACTGTAAGTGTCTTTTTTAGGAACTTTCTCATGTGAACACTCAAAATTAGTTTTATTATGTTTCATAATTATAGTTTGATAATTACAATTTGTAGCTATATGTCATAGGGGGGAGAGGCGAGCGAAAATGGGAGAGAGCGGAGAGAGGCGAGCAACAGAGGACAGAGAGTGAGAGAGATATGAATTTTATATGTACATCAGTTAGATAATTGTATATTATACTTTGTATATATGACAAGCGAGATTGGGAGAGGGAGAAGAGAGGCGAGCAAGATCGAGAGAGGCGCGAGAGAGAGGATTGTATAATTCGCATCTCATTTCTATATTTCATGGCTATGTTTGTATAATTTGCGTGTTTTTATATAAATGAGTAATAATAAGTTGAAATTATGCAAATATGATAAATCTTGAAATAACGAATTGATACAAACATAAACATATGAACTTTAAACAGTTATACAAAATATACCATACAAATTACATTATACAAAATCTGAAAACTAATATTTATAAAAACTTTAAAAAGTTATACACAAAAAGATTGAATGTATATAGTGACAAAACTGAAAAACTAAAAGAAATCATCGTCATATACAAATATAAATCATTGTATATAAACACAAATCTAACGAAGAATCACTTGTTGCAAATTATGCATATGTGGCGAATTATACATATATAAACGTGACTAATTATACAATTCGAAGTCAGCTCACATAATTAATGTTACTCGCAAGTGTTAACTATAGCATACTATAGATATGATAAGTAATTAAGTAGTATAAGTTTGCTTAACCGTGTAGTTTTCTCATCTTTTATACATTCTGAATTGTCAATTATTCTAAGGTATAGTATTTTTTACGTAATTTATAACTATATAAATTTTATTTCAAAAAAATTAAAGATTCTATGCGCAAATTATCTTTCAAACTTAAACTGTTTAACTCTCTAAAAACGAAAAGTGATACATAAATTGAGACGAAGAAAATACCAATTCAAAATACTTAAAAGATATAAGAAAATATTACGATCAAATATAAATTTATTTAATTCTCGAAATCTAAAAAACATCACATATATTGAGATGAAAACAATATATTATTAAAGAGAAAGAAGAAAAGTAATGCCCAATGGAAAAATAGAATTCTAATTTTGAAATTATTACATGAATGTATTGATTTAGGTTAATTACTACTCGTCTGTGGGTAATTTTTTTAAATTACCGTTTATAACATAATTTATACGGTTGGAAGCAAGCTCATTTTCAATTTATCACTATTGTTTATATCAAGATTTTGAATCATGGATTTGACGTTAGTTTTTGTTATATTTTTCAAAATAGAATTTTCTTGACGTTCAAATTTGATATTAAATCGGTATTATACAATAGCGAAGCTAAGATATTCTCGAAGGGAATTCGAAGTATAAAATAATAAACAAGTGAGGTTGGAAAAGAAAAATATTAACCTTAACTCGTTAAATTTAACTTATCTTGTCATACCGCATTTAGGTTCTTCTTACTTTTTAGCCTGCACCATCGAGTTTTTTTTTCAAATTCTTGTGTTTTTTTTTCATGATTCACAGTGTTATAGTTTTGATTTTTTTAATAAAATAATTGCTGAATTAGTGGCCTCTCAATCATATATAACTATAAAAATCACCAAGATCTTTTAAAATGAGTAAAAATTGACATATTCAGAAAATAATTAAATGACATCAATACATTTTTAGTTCATTTAATTCAATATACTAGGTTAGTCATTTGTAAAAAAAAATAAATGATCAATAAATCAAATAAGATTAATTTCCATCTCCTTAGAATAAAATCTAAAAAAATACAACGAAATTAAAGAAAAAAATTTAATTTAATAGATTTTGTTAAAGAAATATTCACATTTTTTATATTTAGTCTTTGATTTACTTTATTTCATATAAATATTTTTTAACTCAATTTAAGATTTAATTAAAATTCATCATTTCTTCAATTTAGTACATAGAAAGAGAACTACTGTAAAACCTCTGGTTCCATTAATATCATAAATTAATAATTCTTTAAAAGTATAAATATATCTAAAGACATTTAGTGAAATATGATTCTATTGTGTCTCTTTTTTTTAAAAAAAAAATTAATTATAGTTGAAGCGCATCTCTAATTTTTCTTATTGCATGCACGAGCTCTGGTGTTGTCTTTTCGAATTGCACCATAAACTTATGAAGAGTTTTAAACATAATAAGTGTTTTCTTACGCGTGACTGATTCCAAAGGTATAGTAACATCTTGAAATTCATCAATAACATTGTTTTTTCCTATGATATCGACAATTTCTTCTAAGATTTGGACCTCTGAACATGTATCACTTTCACCCGGATAATTCAACATATTATTGTCATCCAATTTATTTTGGTAACCGAGATCATTAACCGTGACCTCAATTTCATGAATGACATTTTCACAAGTAGGTTCATTCAAAATCTTTGAGATTGAATCTCTCGAATGAATTTTATAGTGTCAACAACAATTTGTTATCGTCTCTTGCTGAACATTTGTTGTCCAAACAGGAATTGCAAAATTGATAACATCTAAACATTGATATTTGCTAGATTAGTCCGTCCCACTTCATTGCCTTCAAATTCCTACGATAAAATTTGTTAGATAATACATCTTGAAAGCTCTTATTATTGCAACATCATAATGTTGAAATTAGTAAGATATCATTGATTTTGATGTATTCGTTGTACTTTATGTATAATATTTTTTTATGTGAAATCAATAAAGATGATACATAAATTAGTAAGATACAATGATTTTAACATAATCAAAATTAACTTTTATTAAATTTCAAATCATTCTTTAAATTAATAAATATTAATTTATCAATTAAATAATATCTTTATAAAATAATAAAATTCCATGGTCCAACCTATATTAATTTATAGAGGTTATATTGTATGTAGAAACAAAATGAAAAATATAAATAAGAAGAATTAATGAAAATTACAAAGAATATGGTTAACAAATTTAAACTACGGAAAAATTAAAAAATAAAGAAAAAATTACTGAAATACACGTCTTATGTTTTCCTTATTTTCAATATGCCCTTTATTTCCAAAAACCTCTAAAAATCTGTTATTTCTTTAATGTACAAGCTACATATTAATGTTTCTTAGCCAATATTTAATGCATCCGAGCTACGTATCATATTTCAAATTTATTTAATAATGTAACCGAGCTAGTTTTAATGTATTCGAGCTACATTTTATGTATCTCATTTATGTTATAATGTATCTGATATACTCTTTAATGTATCCAAGTTACATATTAATGTATCCAAGTTGTGTTACTTTTTAAGGAATCAATATAATTAAAACTAAAGAGGGATATATTGTAATTTTATATTAAAATTGTGTGATTCCTAAAATTTATAGATAAAGCTTCACATTGAGCCAATGAGGCATTTCATTTGTTTGAGAATATGGGCCCAATACTTCTCAGCCTTTCTAAAGCAAAAAAAAAAAAGATGAAAAAAGTAGCAAATATAGAGAGACTCGAACTCGGTTCTTCTTAGAACTTAAACCCCTTATTCATTCTGCCATCCTTCTCGTTAGTGCTGAGGGGGTTCATTTTAAATAATATACTCATAAAATCAGAATTTGACGTTATATATGGTGTAATTTTTTGACAAAGGTGTTTGGGTGAATCCCCTAGGTTCCACGTAGATCCGCCTCTGACTTCATATATTGTATTGGTAACATCAAGGCTGGTGATTTTTTTAATTAATATTAAATTAGTGTGTGTGTGTATATATATATATATATTGTATTGGTATCGTCAATGCTTCTTGTTTATAAATTACTCACTAATCAATGATACTATAAGTGTATATGTATACTGTTATGGTATCACCAATACAATACATATGTACTTATTTAGTATCAATTAGTTGGGAAATATAATATAATTATTTAGTAGAGTATGAATATAAAGGGTATATGTTTGTAATTATTTTGCTTTTATGAGATATTTGCTTAGTTTCCTTTTCCCTTATTATTTTGAGTTGGGAAAAAAGACAAATATACCCCAAACTGTTATAAATGGTATGTAGATATCATCCGTCATACTTTTGGGACATTGGTGCCCCTGCTGTCTAAAAACTAGAGCATATATGTCATTAACTCTAACAGTAGACTAAATAGGGACATGTGACACAATCTTATCTGCCCATCCGATATTTAATAAAGAGAAAAGGGTATGAAAAATACTCTAACTTTGACCGAAATTGCAGTTATGATATCAAATTTTATGGAGGATCTTTTGCCCCCTGCACTATTTAATGTATTTTAAAGGTATATATGTGTCCACACGGACACGTTACTATTTATAATTATGCAATATTTATGATGTCCATATGGTCACATATATACCTTTAAAAACTATACATTATTAAATAGTGCATGGGGTGAAAAGTCCTTTCCATAGTTTGGTATTGTTACAACAATTTCAATCAATGTTTCGATATATTTAAGACATATTTCCCTTTAATAAATGTCCGAACGGTGGATAAGATTATGATACATGTATGATGTATGTGTGTTAGTATAAAAGATATATGTATATATATATATATATATATATATATATATATATATATATATATATATATATATATATATACTCTAATTTTTGGACGGCAGGGACACTAATATCTCAAAAATATGACGGAGAGTATATGTATATCATTAAAATGGTTCAAAGGTATATTTGTGCCTTTTCCATTTTTGAGTTTTATGACCCATCCATATATTTTTTATGATACTTTAAGTAAATCATTTGTCAACCACGATTAAACCAAAATAGGTTCATATTATATTTCAACCATTTCTATTCAATAAATTAAAGCAGATTCGACTTTCTTTGTCGTTGAATATTCACTCAAAAAATTAATCAAAAATTGATTCAGGAATAACTAGAACTTTGTCCAGAAAAAGTTATTTTTTGTCACATTATTAAAATAGTATTAATTTTTTTTTTAATTTCAGACTAATTGATCATGAAAGCTAATTAGATAAAATAAAATTGAGTGATTTTACCTTTTATTTGCTACAAGTTAAATGATTATCTAGAAATTCAACTGAATGGATAGAGCTACACTGAATGAATTATATTATTTTATAGCTAAAAAACACTTGTTATACATTTACTTGTAGAAACAAAATCAATTTATCAATCAAAATCAATCAATACAGAATTAAATCAGTAGACGGCACATGCTTTTCAAGTAATATCAACTATTACCTATATAATTTGAAAACATTTATATCTTTGACATTGACATTTTGATCTTACAAAAACTCTTTGGACATATATATTTCAATTATAGCTTTCCAACTAATAAAAGATACAAAAATCCTTCTCTTAATTAATACTACAAGAATTTTCTTGTACCAAAAAGATTACCTAAACAAGATCACTTTAAAAAAATATATATAAAAAATAATTATGAATAAGCATTGCAACAACCTATGTCCAATTACTTGCATGTCAATTACCAAACCAATATATTTGATGTGTGTGTATATAATATAATAATAAATGTGTTTAATTATTCAACCTCTCACACCTCACTTTTAGCTAGCTAGTGTTAGAAAAACAATAGAGATCACAATTGAAGAAAGAAGATGACTTTGCGGAAGAATTACTTTTCTTAAAGAGATATTTATTTATATATATTGAGAAAAATATAAATAATTTTTCAAGATATAATAAATTCCCTTGTATATACTTACATATATTTCTTAGGCTGCATGTTGAGAGTTCTTATATTTATAGAACTGAAGAAATAATTTTTCATAATTATCATATATTCTTTGATGAACAAATGTATCTGTTTAATTTAAAACATCTATATATTACAAAATATTTTACAACTAGAGGGTAGTGATGAGGCATAAGAAATACAAAGAAAACTCAAATAGAGATTATGTGCAACAAACTAAATTAATTAAAGGAAGAGATGCAAAATATTGATCAAAGTTTAGTTTTCTTGAATGAAGTTGAAGAAGCTAATTAAGTATGAAATTACAAGAACACCTTTTTCAAGACTTTGATGAGAACCACCAAGCTTGGCCTTTTGCTTGCTTTGGAAAGATTCAAAGATTTAGCACATTTATATTCCACCTTCTTTGCATTTTTCCCACATGAAGTCTTTGTCATAATTTTGTTAGACATTTCTTCATTCAAATTCTCCCATAACATGTCCATTTTCTCTTCTTCTTCATCTTCATCTTCAATCATTCTCTTCATGGCAAGAACACCTTCTATGTGTGAGAAGCTCTTTCTTTGGTTGATGTAATTAGACTTATTGGATATCAATGGAGACATGTCCAATTTTTCTTCATGATCATGATCAGAGTTATTCTGGAGGTCACTAGAGGCAACTAACGTTGTTCTCCATAAAGGTGGTGATTCAAGGAATCGCGGCGGTGTATTGGTGATTGTTGGGAAGCTAAAATCATCTTGAGGAGGAGAAGGATCCATTATTATATGGTTTTGTTAGCTATGGTGTTTGTAAATAAGACTACTTGAATTGAGATATTATTGGGGTGGCTTTGTTTGGTGTGGAAGGTTAAGGGGGTTGTTTGCATTTTTGGGGAAAAAGTTTTTGTTCAACCACTTCAACTTTGTATACAAATATTTTCTTTTATATAAAGAAAAATTTAGGAGTATGGATCCCATTTTTATAACTTTTTGGGTCCACAATATTATATATTTCTTTCGTGATTCTCTTTTTTACGTTTATTGAATTTGGAGGATCTTTTAAAGATATTTTATATTTATTGATATGTACATAATTTTAATATAATCATACAATTGAGGTGTTTATAATTTTCAAAAATAATTATTATGAATAATATCCACCAAGCACATATCATTCCTTTGTTAATTATTTATTTCTTAATTATATGTGTTTTAGGTATAGAGTAGCTAAGTTCCTGTTTATTAAGACACCCCCCCCCCCCCCCCCCCTTGATTTTTTTTTTTAAGAATTATAGAATATTAAAAATTATTATAATGAGGGGTGAAGTAGAAAATTAGAAGCTTAACTATGAAGAACACAAAGTTCAATAAATTTTACTTAGATATATTTATATTAAAAAGTTCATTATATTTGTAAATATAAATTCAAAATATTATTATTAATTCTTAAAGTCATCGGACTTAATTACCTATAAAATAGAGAAAATCATGATTTTTATTTTGAGAACATTGTAAAACATGTCAATGACACTTGTCATATTGTAATTGCAATATAGTTCATACTAAAATAATAATGATAATATATTTGGTGTAATTTCACAAGCGAAGTGAAAAAATATTAGAATATATGCAAATTTTTTTCCTACTATTTGTGGGATAGAAAGATTGTATCTCATACACTTATCTTCACTCGAAATAAATGTAATCAAGTTATAAGGACAACAAAATATTAAGATGAATAAAGCAAATGAAATAATTGATAATATCTAATAATTCATTAAATGTATTAACTATGCACTCACTTTATATAGCAATTCTCAAACTAAAAATAATTGAGCATCCATAAAATAAAAATTTTGAATTCGCTACAGTAAAAAATGAAAAGATGGGAATAGTAAACCAGCCCCTCACTCTCCCGCATAAAAGTATGATGACGCTCAGCTAACTATTACTTTTCTATTCTAATTCCCAACCTTCATGTCTTTCTATTTGGAGTCATGTCTATAATAACTTGAAAATGTGTCACGTCTCATCTGATCACCTTCCATCAATTTTTCTTTGGTCTAATACATCTACCTCTCCTAAAGTTTGATATAGCCAACCTCTTACACTTTCTTTACTGGTGCATTTGAACACCTCCTCTTCATATATTCGAACCATCTTACTTCTTTTCCCTCATCTTGTCAGTCACATAGGTCACTCACGTCTTGTCATATATAACTTTGTATCTTATCCTATCTCTCCTAATATATGCACACATCCATTTGAGTATACTTATGTCTGCCATCTTCATCTTTTGTGTGTGCTTGTTCATGACTAACCGATATTCTGCCTCATATACACAACAACGTAGGTCTATCCATCATTTTCTAGAAGTAAAATTTTAGTGACACGTTCTTATCACAGTACCCCAAATGTGAACCATTCATTTTATCACGACGATGAACGATATCATCATCAATCAATCTCCCCGATTCCTTTGATTATACACACATCCCTAAAATATTTATAACTTTCTTTCTTAGGTATAACTTAATTATGTCTTGATCTTTAATTCCACCTCTCTCCCACTTCATCATATGTTATGTGACTAATTTTGTATTCTAGATATTCTATTTTTATCTTGCACACTATAGTCTATACTCACTATAATTAAATTGATAAAATATTATAGGGATAATTAGCCACCTCAAGTAATGAGTAGTGACCAAAATATACTCCTTCTTTAGGAATTTAAACTTATTGTCCATCAATCACTATCTAAAGACTTTCATATGACTAAACTCTAACATATATAATTATGGTCAAACATTTATGAAATTACTGCCGGATTTATCGGATTATTAATTCATGCCATCAAATTAATTTCCAATTTTCAAGAAATTTAACCTTTTTTTTGTGTGTGTATAATTTATTTTACTTGATTTTAATTAATGAGTTTTGATACTTCAAAGTTTATTCATCTTCCACTGTTTTTGGTTATTATTATATGAATGGAAATTAATTTTACATCTTCCACTGTTTTTTATTATTATATTTATATGAATGGAAATTAGTTTGAGAGTCGGCAAATTATTACAAGGATATTTCCAATTCTTGATCAATTAGCAAATCCAATTTTTTTTTCTACTTAATATCGTGTTTCACAAGTCTAAAGATATACTAGTAATAAATTGTTAAATATTTAAAATATTTCACATGTGAGCCAGCAACAAAATATGTCTTTTATACCCTCTTCCTAATTATATGTTCATTTTTTCTTTTTTAGTCTTCCTAATTATTTGTTCATTTGATTTACTTATTTTGAAATAGATAGAGTTTTTTGAAAATCTTTAAGTTTTTAATACATTCACTTCATAATTAGTAAAAATAAAATGATAAACTCACTATATCAATAATTATTTTTTTAATAGGCATGTCAATTCAAAAGCAGATAAGTAATTATGGATGGGGAGTACGTATTCAAGACATCCAAATAACTTCCATTTTTTTTATGATTTCTTATATATATATATATATATACACACACACATACATACACACATCTCTTGAATCAAGAATCTCTATCGAAAATAACTTCTCTACTCTATAAAGATAGGATAAAGTCTTCAGGTACCTACTCAGGGTGCCTCTATAGACAGGGGTGTATCTACAGCTATACCAAGGTGTTTAACTTGATACTCTTTGTCAAAAAATTACGTTGTATAAATATGTAAAATTCTACATTAAAAGGATATATATTTAAAGTTGAACACCCTTGACAAAAGTTATGTCTTTGGAGCAGTGGTAGTAGTAGTGGTGGAGCCAGAATTTTAAATAAGGGGGTTCGAAATCTGTAGAACTAGATCCACGAAGTAGCCGAAGGGAGTTCGACATCTACTATATATACATAAAAAAATTATTTTAACAATGTATAGATAATATAAATTTCTATCGAAAGAGGTTCGGATGAATCCCCTTGTGGATCAACCGCTTGGGTAGTAGCCGTCCGTTTGAGTGAAGAAATTTGAGGTTTGAACCTCAAATAACACAATATTTATTTATTTTATTTTGATTGCTACAAACTATTATTTTTAGATATTTTTAATTAAATTTCTGACTATGATACTATAGTTTATGAACCTTACAAAGTTTCACACATTTCATATACCTATTTAGACGAACAATATAGTAGTGATTGGATTTGCAACTTTATACTCTAAATTCCCTAGTCTTCTTAATCATATATTGCTTCTTTTTTCTCCTTTTTCTTTTCCTCATGTCACTAATTAATTTCTTGTATATATTACCATATATAGTAAAAAAAATACTAGTAACTTTTCAAGTAAGTTTATTAAGGGTGATTTTGATATGGAAAAAAAAAACTATCCATGGAAAATATTCAATTCTTTTTGAAAAAAAAGAGAGTATAATTTTTAGTATTTGATAAATAAAATATTACTTTACATACATTTATGTAATGCAAATTAAATTGTGGGAGTAGGGGGACGTGGAGTGGGGTGGGGTGGGTAAGAGTGAAGGGGCAGGGTGGTGTTAAGGTTGGAAGTGGATACATGTGGATCTGCCATTTAATTATTGAGTTCACCTGAATTTAATAGCTTTTGTTCAGATCTTATTTACGTATTGAGAAATTTATTACATTTCTATAAATATTAGTTACTATTAAATATTTATGTGAAATAGTTATATAAATTCATCGAGTTTTAATTTTTGAATTTGAGGGGTAGGGGTGGGGGGTTAGCGTATGGGTGTAGACTTCTCAAGTTTTTTCTTGATTGGGATCTACTTGTTAACAATCATATTTTTCTATTTGTGTGTTTTTATAGATACAAAGAAAGCTACTCTATGAGACAATTTTTCATCTCTCAATGCACAACTAGTAATGACTATAATAGGGATAATATTACATAATAGGATGTCAAATAAGTTGGTTGAGCAAAATTTGAGCAACTCAAATCGAGTAGAGCTAATGAACATCTCATCATCAAACACAATAATAATATACTCTATTTATCTTTACAAATGAGGTTTGAGATAGATAGGGAGTTCGAAGCCAAAAGGAAAAAACATTATTAAAAATTCCAATAGGGTACATTTTTTTTTTAATCAAAAGGGCAAAATCGCTCCTGACAGAGCGATTTTCTTCTGACAAATTTAACGTGTTAATTTTTTTTAAAAAAACACAAAAATCGCTATTATGGCAGCGATTTCATTGAAAAACTAATTCTTTTTCCTTAAATCGTTGCCATAGCAGTGACTTGTCAATTTTTTTTTTTAACAAATGATGTAGGGGCAAACCGAATGTTGGACCAAAATGTTGTCTGTCTCTATTAACTTTTTTAATGAAAAGCAGCGATTTCAACTTCTTCTTTTTTAAAAAACGCTGCACTTGCAGCGATATTAAAAAAAAAATTGTCAGAATAAAATCGCTCAGAAGCAATTTTACCTTTCTGGTTAAAAAAAAAATTGATATGCTCTTTCGATATTTTTGACAATTTTTTTTACCCTTTTGACTCAAGACTCGATGGGTAGGTGTATAGAAACCATGTTCTTACCTGTGAAAAATAGAGAAATTATTTCCAATAAATCCTAAGATAAAAAAACTCATTCTTTTTAAAAATAATTTGAAAGAAATGCAAGTCGTGAGTTCAAAGTTTATTTGTACCAAGATGATTTTTGGATAATTTGACCTGAAACAATTAAAAAAACACTTTTTTTTCATTTGTTTTTTTTAAAAAAAAATTATTTACCCAAATCAAAATAACACTTCAAAAAGAAAAAGGTGCTATTTTGAGCTCGCATCTAGTAACTTGAACCAAGTATTTCAAAACTCGATAGCATATTCAATATAATTCCACGAGTGGAGTCTGAAGAGGATGGTGTACACTGCCTCAAGTTAGCCAAAAAAAAGGTCTATCCTCTTAACAAAAAAATGAGGGAATTGGATGACCAACAGTGTTAGAGAATCAATTACCCTACCTTTCTATTTGGAGATTTTTACAAGTAAAATAGGTACAAGAATGGGAGAGCTCCATATGATTCTCTCCATTTAAAAAGAATTAGGTATTCCCAAATGCATCCATATCTAACTTAACTAAGATATTTAGAGGATTTCTTCAACCACCTGCCTGAATGTCTTTCCTTTAGTTCTGGGGAGATGTCACGAGTATCTGAGTAAGTTCCACTACCGGTGACAAGAGTGATGTACCAGTAACTGGACTCCCATTTACACTTTGTCCTGGAGTAGTTTTATGTACAAAAACTAATGTTAACCTGTGTAAAGCAACTATTGCATTAGCTAGCAAGCCAAACACTTTCTTCCATCTTATTGCTATCCCTGAGTAGAACAGGAAGGATCAATAGTTGTCGTCTCTCCTAAGAAAAACACTGTGATATTCAACTGAATCTTGGCTATCGCATGGATTCTCGATGCTTAAGAGGAGTGCCTTCTTCACTGGAGCCTCCTCCTCCATCATATTTAGGATATCGCATAAATGCAGTTGGTGAAGAAACTGTGAACAGAACAAAAATAATTATCAACTCAAAACCAACAAAACGTGAATTATATTGTTACTAATGTTAATTTGAAAGGATACCCTCAACTAAGTCTTTGGTTTTGTGAAGAAGAAAGGTGCCTGACAAAATGGTCACAAATCCACAGAGTTCCGTAATAATTTGAGTTGCAGTTTGCCCATTCCAATCCTGTTCCATGAGCACGAAGGACAATTTAGAAGAAGATAAGATGGTTGAAGATAGAGGATGCCTTTCAAACGCAAGTTGAACTTATCTAAATATTTAACTACTGTCAATCACTATGGCTCAACACTTGAAAGCAGCTATTCCAGTAATTAAGACAAGCACTTATGGTCAATAAGCAGGAGAGGATGGAGAGATTTGCAACTTATCCATGAACCACAAGCTCCAGTGGGTTTGCCAGGGTAAATAAGCATTTCATGCTTGAAGGCATGTGAATGATTGCTTTATAAAATGCACTGAATACCCTAATAATGCAGCTTTTGACCATTTTTATGAACATAGGTAGTTGCTTTCTCAAAAAGACTTCATAGTCACTTATTTGCCATGTACTTTAAATATATAACAGAAAATCAAAGAAATATATAAACTACAACTACTCATATTGTTAGAAAGTTGTGCAGTAAACATGCTGCAGATAATAGACAGAATGAAATGGGGAATTCTGACATTGGTCTATACTCCGTCAAGGCTGGATATAATTTCTCCTTCAGCAATCCTATGATTGACAAATGGCCTTGGAAGTATATTTGGAAGACCAAGCGCCTGACAAGTACTTCGTTTCAGTTGGACAGGTCTCAAAAGACGCTTGTCTAACACAGGATAATCTATCAAGAAGAATTCCTCAAATAGTCAACAGATGCTACAAGTGCAAGACCAACTCAGAAAAGCATCAGCGATCCATTGTACTGTTGCAGCAGACTTTTGGAGCATGTTTCACTCGATTTTTGGACTTAGCTGGTCATGCCATTCAGTGTAAAGAATGCATGCGAAAGCCGGAATGTCTGGAGAGTTGATAAACCATCACGGATATCTAGAGAATGGCACCTGCCTGCATTTTTTGGTGCATTTTGGACATAGAGGAACATGAGATGCGTTGATGGAATTTCAACTCTAATGCGCTCCCTCAAGGCTGGATGTCTTATCTGTTCAATTGGTGTAAACTTTCTCTCATAAATAGCACATAACAGGTTTTGGATTTTGTAAGCTCCCAAATTCTAGTCTAATTTTATGTATAGGAGCAATCAAAATCTTTTTTGCACATGTACTTTTGCTATTTTGCAACTTCTTGATGCCTCGAATGAAATCTTTTTACTCCATCAAAAACATATAAACTATAACTGTAAGTCTCCTCCCTCACCCATTAGATGATCAATTCTCTACTTATATTCGCAATTCATTTGTATTGGCTTGTTTGATCAAATTGTCTCTTTATTACTAGAGAAGTCCCGTGATACGAAATACTGATTAGATACGTTTAAGGGTATAAACTGTTATATGCCAAGCTCTACTAGTTAGGCAGTTTCAGAAAATCAAGGAAAGGAGAAGTCCTCAAGAATTATTAAAATGGTTAAAAATTATTCAGAAAGATTGCTGCTTTTTCACCCTTCCAATTTCAACAGTGGGAGGGGGAGGAAGAGAGAATATAGTTGCTTTCATTTTAGCTCCAATTTCATCAATTATGTTTAGAAATTTCTATTCATTTGTGACTAATCTTAAATACTCCCTCTGTCCCAATTTATGTGACACTTTTCGCTTTTCGAGAGAAACAATTTAATTTGACCGGAAATTTGCTCGTGGAATCTTCAAAAAAATTTTAAATGAAATTTATATATTTGTAAACTATGTAAAAAGTACTATAAGTCACAATAATTGACAATTCAAAATAATTAAAAGATATATGAAAAATCTCCGGTCAAAGATAAACTTATTTGAATTTCGAAAACGGAAAAGTGCCAGATGGAGGGAGTACGTAAAATTATTTATTCCTTTAACTAGTCACTAGTCATCTCGCTGGAATCATAAAAGGTCAGTCCCCTCTAGATCAATGTTTAACATAGTACAACTACTACGAGTGTTCTAAAGTTCAACCCTTATATTTTTCAATTACGTTTCTCATGCACCAAAATGGAGGTCTACGAGAGCCTGGCGTGCATTCATACAACACTTACAAAGTTGTATTATTCCCCACTCACATTGGCTAGCAACCACACATTCCTCTGCATCATTGTCACTACTCACTCCTGATCCTGTTTATGTCTAGTTAGGTTCAATATGATTCATCTATGTTTCCTTTACAGGAATTCTATTTTTAGACTTCATGCATACCCTAGGCAACTACATGAGTAACATGATACTAACGAGGTGGCGGAATTGTCGGAAAAGATGACTAGAGTCTAGGATCACTGACGATGCACTAGGTGTTCAAAAAGTCCATATTTAAGATGAAAAATTGGAGTATCTCAGAGGGGCAAAAAATAATTAGGTGAGATGATAAAGAAAATTTTCACCCACAAAAGAAGATTAATTACTTTTCAATTCTCGTCCAAAAGAAAAATCAACAACTATGCATATATTTATGACTATCATTTATTATCGAGCTATACAAACTGTCGCTCAGTATCTTAGGATCTATCTTCTTCAAAATATTTTCATTGAATCAACTTGAACAGTTCAAAGAAAACAATGTGATGTATTAGCTAATGGATACAACATTAGTAAAGAAAAGTAGTTGCACCTTAAACATGATGACGCTGGCGACTATTGTGAGTGATGTAAACGTCACATAGTATATTGGTGATACAAGTGCTGTGTTGAATGTATCAAGAGCCTGCATTTGAAAAGTGAGGAAAATTTGGTCTGAAGGTACAGAAAAACAATGATTTATCCCCAACCCGAAAGAAACAGAGAGGAAAACACCAGTAAAAGACAAGGGTATGCAAAAAGATAAAACAATCATCAGAAATATAAATGTCCTTTGAGTAACAAATGACCAAAATAGGTTCTGCAGCTAAAAATGTAGTCCTATGTAGTCAGTCTCAGTCATGGAGCAACATAAGTTCAAAAAGGAAATCAATCAACTAGGCTTCAACCCAAACTATTCCAAATCGTCTAAATGAATGTGTGTCTATCCATTTGGGTCTACTCAGGCAAATTTCCTTGTTATAATAGTAAATAGGAAAACTAGATGTTATCTAAACCACTAACTTTCCCCAGGTAATATTCAAGTCTCTTACCAAACTAAAAAGACTAATAACAACTTATTGTAAGTGTAACGATAAACTAAGCATCAATCCAAACTAGTTCTCTTTGCCTGTATGGATCTATATGGATTCTTTAATTCCATCTTGTTCAATTCTTAGTTGAGTCTGCGTTGATTTCAACTAATTATAGGTCCTTTAAGGAAATTTCTTATCTCAGACGACCCTTTCTTATTCCCTCTTGCATAGTCGTGATGTGATAATTTCTGATCTTTCCAATCTTGTATGGCATCCATATTTCTGTGATAATCATCTAGATAGTCACCTAAGGGGCACTGCAATGATAGATGCAAATAGTTTTCATTATAAAATTTTGAAATGTTCACTGATCTGCAGAAAGAGCTCTATCTCTCAGTAACGTTCAACATCCATCAAACAACAAACGTATGAAGGTTTTATTTTTCGTGGAGATGTTAGTTTCCTCAAGGTCATTGTGCTCACAATTATGTTATGTTGAGTCTCTAAGAAAGACCCCCTGACAAGAACACTATCTGATCATCGGTAATAACTGGCACCTCGTAGATGCTCCAAAAAAGTTACAAGAAACAAAAGGCATTCCTGATTTGTACAAAACTGCATTTTCCACCCCTTCAAGAAACCCTTCTACATATTTATTTTTTTGTTTGGCTCTTCTATATATCCAGATTAGCGTTGCTTTAATTGAGCTACTTCCAGTGCTCTACTTCTCCATTTTCGCCTGAATGTCCAACTCAGGAGCAAATTTTTAATAGCAGCTACCTAGTCCAGTCTAATGTATTCCAAACAAGTTTAACATAGTACATCATAGTCTATACTCTATTTGCTACCTGACAGTAAAAAAGCAATTGGTCCACATCTTCCTAAGATTGCTTGCACATGTAACACCATCTGACATATGTTATCATCTTCCTCCTCCTTATTCTCAGATGTAAGGATGGCCCCTTTGGCTACTAGCCAAGTGAAGAAGCAACCTTCTTGGTGCTCTAGGAGACCACACAGAGGTGTGCATGAAAAGAGAGAGCCTAGGCTTCTGATGTAGCTTAAGTTATTTTTAGTTATTTTTTCATAGGAGTTTTAACTGTACAAACTTCAACACACTTAGGGTTGTTTGATAGAGTGTATAGGAGCGCTCGCTTGCTGGAAAGACTGGGACTAGATTGATAGAGCACAGGGCATCTGCTCGTTAGCAATCCGGTTCAAAGCCAGTAGCACGAAAAAATAATGCTTGCATCAGCTTGATGTATTATTAGTAATTTGTTTGATATACTTTTCTAATATAACTAATGTTTGTATTAGTAATACACTCTATTGTTTATTGAAGAGTGTATTACTAATATCATCTATTTCTATGCATTAGTAATGCAATGGGTTCCAATGCATGCATTAACATTATTAAAGACACAATTACCCTCAAAAACTTTTTTTACATCCTCTAAATTTTTTTTCTAAAAGATTATGTAATGCATAATATTTTTGGTTGACCAAACCAAACATTGCATAAAAAAAAATCTCATCATAACTAATGCAAGCATTACTAATGCACTATATTTTGCATTATTCTTATACACTCTACCAAACGACCCCTTATTGTAAGTCAAATTGCAACAACAACAAGATATAGGCTGACACCTAAAAGTCCAAGAGCATAAAGATACACCGAGTTAATGTTTAGAACTTCCATACAAATGACTAATATTATCCAAGCATAAAATAACAACAAAAAGAACTGAGAGTACATTCCAGTTAAAATAACAACAAAAAGAACTGAGAGTACATTCCAGTTAAAATAACAACAAAAAGAACTGAGAGTACATTCCAGTTACCTTGTTTAAGTAGTTCATTTGTGTTAACACGCATGTCACTACGACAACTGCAAAGATCCATGTTTGAGGATACAACAACTGGTTCGTCCCAGAAAACGTTAATTTTAATGCTATTCCTAGTGCCTGGACACTCATAACCTGCCAAATCATTTAAGATTTTTTTCCAAAAATCACAATTAGATCACATGGATGTAGCCCGTGTAGGAATGATGAGATAATTACAAGCTTAGGGAAAAAGAGAACCCGGATGGGGGAGGGTAAAAATGAAAAGCCGAACTCCAACCAGATGGCTGAGTGCCTACCCCAATAGAACCAACGAGTGAACAAACTCCAACATAAGCAATTATATGAGTCTGTCCATATTTTGGAGCATACTGGACAATGATTACGACAACTGCCACTATTACCAAAGTTGCATATAGGAGGAATGCTGCCATGAGTAAGAAATTAGCAAATTATTGTCAGCAAGAAGTTTTGACAATCTAAGCAATCAAACATCCATGCTCACAAAATGTCAAGAAGGTCTCGGCTTTGTCAGCCTTCAAATGCATACCAGGTTCCGTGGCAAGGTCCCAGAGTTCCTTTACAGACTCAATTTGACGTTCTTGAGGAGCATGCAGAACAATGGTTGTTGAGCCCACAACACATAGAACACAACCAACTATTCCAAAAATATGCAGTTTTTCTCCCAATATCATATGAGCAAGTGCAGCACTGCAAAAATAAATAAATAAATAAATATTGCCTCGAAGGTAACAAATAGCAAAGTTGAACAATCATTTCCAGCCTTCTCTTGCCTGATAATAATACTGAGTGCACCAAGAGGTGTGACTAGGACAGCAGGTGCAAATGCATAAGCTGCAAAGTTAGCAATTTCTCCAACAATCACTGCCACAGAAGCAATGCACTCACATCAACCTTGTTTGTCTTCTCTTTTTTTTTCAAATAGAGAGGTGAGAAGAACATGTACATGGTTAAAATACTTCAAATAAAAATAAAACGACAAGCATGGAAGCCCCATAAAAACATATTCTTTTTAGGGAGAGGTGGAGGAGGAAAAAGCCTTAAGAGAGATATAACTTATTTACAAGCAATATTGGAAAGATTTTCAGAAAATGCATGTATTTTTTCCTATCTAGGCTTTTGAACAAGTAAAAGACCATATTATTCACATCAAAGTAGAGCAAATGCGAAGAACTGAAGTAAATATCCTCGCGTCATTGGTTAGAGAATTAAGAAAATTGACAAATATAATGTGGCTTGAATAGTCAGTGGGACTTCTTAAGACATTAGGATATATCATATATTCATAGCCTTCAAAGAGCCCTCAGCTCCTTAGATCCTGGAAGCCCTTCTATTCTCTCACACTAATGAAGCAAAATAACAACAATTTACATGTTAATGCTATCTTATATAGTTAATTTTTTTCTTCCTTTACTTTTCACCTCTCAATTCCTCTTTCACTCATCCTGGATTGAGAATACAAAATTATCCTTCCCCATATTCAATAAGTTCAGTTACCAAGAAAACCAGCAATACCAGCTTATATAACATGCATGAAAAACGGCAGCGTCTAAAGTGGTTCCAATCATTAGCTGGTTGAATTTTGGAGCTACAAAGGGACAGTTATGGGGGAAAATATCATCCGTAATCTCTCAGACAACTCAATATGCATAATTTATCCTTGACATAGATGTCTATTACCGTAAATTATCCTTATTCTTTTACCGAGAATTTTGTGTTGCCTTTCACAAGTCAAGTACTTTCTGTGACGGATCTTTCCTTTTCCTTTCTTTCCCCCTTGATCAGCTATTAATATTATTGCACCCATGAGGTTCTTGTTTGCATAGATGAATGCGTGACTTCCATAGAGAACCAAATTTTGATGTAGGTTCATCTACCTTTTGGTATACTTCTTGTACAAGGGGATTCCCCCAAAATTAATAAGATCATTTACCTTATCAAAATAAGTTGAAATCAACTAAGTCATTTTGTCCATATTCCTTAACGGCCAAGTTCCTTTTTTCTCTTCCCTTTGAACCATCATAGATGCCTGAATTTTATAAGGTAACAACGAGAATTTCACCATGGCTCTATACTGTTTAAGACTTCACAAGCAATTACACTGACTCAAACGCAAAGTAAGCATAAAGAACATACTGTCCCCGTAACAATCCAATGTCGTAGTCACTACTTTGTAGAAAATAGCCTACTAGATAGCATCTACTTCCTCAAGGAGTTCCCTTACTTGATGAACTTTATTTTCCGATACCAAGTCATAAGTTCCATTAATTGACTGTTTGCAACACCACTTTTCTATTTTCATATTCCTTGCCAATATAAAGTAAAGAAAACAAAAGAAAAGAAAAATGAGTTATGAAAAAAAATCTCTTTTTATATACATTTAAATACAGTACATTTCAATTCTCATCTCAATAGTCATGCCAAGTCACTAAAAGACATTATTTTGGACCACAGAGGAAACAGTTACAAATCCTCATATATCAGAAGATTGAATGTGATAGGATAACTAACTTGTTATCATTCCTGCCCACCAAAGCGGCTCCATCAAGTAAGAATAACCTCCAGAGCCTGCCATAGCATGTAAAAATAAGTCACATTATCTCTAGGTATGGAAATTGAATTAACCTTTAGAAGCTAACGTTGTTATTCAAGATTACGATGTTTAAAGCCAAGATCTAAGATGAGTAAGATTTTAAAGTGGTAACCCATTTCTTATCCAACAGTTTCATGATATATTTGAAAGCCGAGCACCACCAATGATCCATTTTTCTTCTTTTTTCTTTTTCCTTTTCTGTTAGGATAACAGAGAAATCCTTAAGGGCCAGCCCCAGACCATTCAAAACATATCGAATAATTAATCCATCCTTCTACCATTTTCCACTTAAATACATGGCTTTTGTCTATGGAAGGGTTCAAACCCGTGATATTCGCATAGCCCAGACATCACGTGTTACAATCTTACCACTAGATCAAAGCACTGTGGACAAAAAATTATTTGGAGAATCAGGAAAGGCTAAGGGGAAATGGGACGCTTCATTTTCTTCTTATAAAGCACTTGTCATGTGGACAATTGCAGATGAAAAAAGAAGGATTATATGCGGGTCAATCTGATTGACAATTCTACTGCAGCACACATTTGACAAAAAGAATGAAACATTAGATTAAAAATGAAGCAAATGCCAAAATAACTATAAATCACAGTTGCATCATGAATCCACTTATTAAAAGGGACCAATAAACCAACATATAAATTGAAATACAATGGAAAAGGTTTAGTGATTATATGCACATTGCATGCATTCTTACAATTTTTTTATCCATAACCTTCACAAATAGCTTATGTAGCTGTAGCTCTAGATAAAACATGAGAGCATCCATGTCAAGAACAGGCACATGGGCAAGGATATGAGATATGCCTGAGAGTACTAAAGATATGGGAAATAAGGAAGCATTTTTTTAGAAGCAGAAGAAATGTTGTAGCATGCTCAAATAATACTTTCTTTGAGAAGACTCTGAAAGTAGGTAGAACACCACATTTATGAAAGTTTAAGATTACTTGTCTTCCAAAAGCTATGGACAGATTCAAATGAAATCTTTTCAGGAGGATTAAAACAGATGAGATCTTGAACACATATTATCTCACAATGGTGTACCCATGATCTTTTGTAAATAGTGTCCACATATAAAGAAGTGAACAAATAACTATACGAACATGAGAGATGAAAAGTTTGAGAATAACAACACCAGCAATTTCAATCACCCAGAAGTTGCAAGTTACAAAAACGGATGAGTAACTTCCTTTCAAAATTATCGTTCTAAATCCATTTATGTTATACTAAAATAATTACTTTTCAGGGATTGAATATTTAATTTTCACTTTGTGGTTACAAATGTTTGTGGGTGTGTTGGTTTAATCAGCTTTTTTGCTGGAGGACAGGGTTTGATTATTACTGCCTCTATGTTTAAGACAATAGAGGCCTGTATTTTATTCTTGTTTGATAAAAGAGGGTTAGAGATTGAAACAATGAGAAAATATGCAAAACATGTACACAGAAGGTCTTAAACCTCCACCTCATTTACACAAGTCGACGCTACTGACCATCAAAGACAGGCTACGCCATGAAGTGATGTCATTTAATTTATATTTATTGTTTTGCACATCTATCTATCTATATATATCTTCTATACTATTCTAAAAGTGGGAACCAAAAAAGTTAAAAGTTGAATTACCAAAATGTCCATCAAATATTGAACGATGTCTTTGTCCTTCAAGGAAACATTATTTTCATAACATTTTCTTTTCAGAAAAGTAAATATACATTCAAATAAATATTTTAAAAATAATAAGCAAAAGAAATGTGGTTCATTGAATGGTGAGCTCTAGTAAGCTTTTTATCTTAATGAAATTTATTTTGTTGGAGTAATTAATTAGACTGTCAACCTTTATTACAAGAAATGATATCTATTTATTAATCCACTATTTCATGTAATACCTTAAGGACTGATTCATGAACCAATATAATTCAATTCATATTCCCCACCTATATTGCACAGACTCTCCAAAAATGTTGTCGCACCCGTGACAAATACTTCAAAAATGCACTATTTTCGGAGGATCTAACACACACCCAACGACATATTTGAAGAGTCCGAACAACATAGTTCCCCCCTAATGGTCCTTAAATACTTTATTTATGATTTAAAAATGTTGAGAGCTTTATATGGCAGATTGCTTGGCATTTTTTTTCTAAGAAACTCAAGTTCGATTTTGCCAATAAACTTCAATTCTTATTTTCATCTGGCATCAGAGCAAGTATATATTTTTATCACTGCCCAGTCCCATACCTATATATTTGTTTGATGGTTTGGATAAAAAAAATTCATGGTGTTTGGTCTTCTCAAGTTTCATTATTTTTTGGGGTAAATTAAACCTATAAGCCTCTCATTTAAAACTTCAAGTCTATCATTTGCTTTTTTTATAATTTTCTTTCTTATCGCAATCAACACAAGCATTATAATTCATGGAAGGAAAAAGAAAATAAAGAAAAACTGATTGTATAATCCACTAAGGTTCTTTAAAGGAATTATACGCGCAACGCGCGTTCCAGACCTAGTTTTTATATGCAACTTCCCAACAAAGCAGAGTCGGATGACATTATTTTGACTAACGTGTGTCTTCCCTCAAAAAAGGATATGAGAATCATGATAATTAATCACCAAGGATGGTGCTATCATGAAAAACACTCCTACCAAGATGTTTAAATTACAATGGATCCAACATACAATTATATCCAACATGCTCTTGTTATGGATGAAATAAAGGTATTATAATGTCAAATTACTCCACTTAAGAGGGTCACGTCTTCTTTTAACCTAAGAGAGCTCATAAAAAGTGGACATTGATAGAGTCAAGAAGTTGATTTTACAAACATCCTGCACACAGGTAGTTATCCCCTTTTGCAGTAAATGAAACCTTAATTATCAGGAGTGCAGCAAACAGTGAAGCCTCTGTTGTTTAATAGGCCTGTTGTAACCTGAAGCTGTGGGACCAAACTAACCATATAAATATAGTATATTGTTTGTGATAAGGTAAAAGTAAAATATCTCAACTGAGCATATACGTCTAGTATATGTAAAGCTATGGACCAAATTTAGCACCTAATTCTCCCTATAGTGGATAACTAAACAAAACCCAAAAACAATGAGAACTAGACAAGGATCTCATATCAATATTCTCTGTAATCATCCACAATGTCTCCCAGATAATAATGAATCTCCTATGTTCGGTTTCGGTTTTCGTTTTCTACTATATATTAAACAAAAGAGATCTTAAGGATATACTTCAAACCATCTCAGAACCAAACATGATAATAGGTTTAAATCCACACTAAGATTTTTATATTTAGTGCCAAAAGATTTGTTGTCTAAACCAAGTGTCAATGTTTCCCAATTATTGATCGCAATCACTATATGGTATGTTAAAACAATAAAGAGTGTCATAAAGCAATTCAGAACAGGAAACTTTTACTGCCTAATTATATGTTGAATCTTATTAACAAGAGTCTAACTCATTGTTAACATACTGAACAATTGTTTCTGCCAACTTAATATCACAAATTCTTAATCTTTTCAGAAAATTAGGAATTTTTTTGGAACAATGTACTCCAACAAAGATATCAGTAAATTCAGCAAAACCATAAAGTAAAACAGAAAAAAGAAAAGAGTGAAAAAAAGAAAGTAACACTAAGAAATTAAGCTGTCGCCAAAGTAATCCATTCAACCAATTTAAAAAATATAATTAGACACCAGAAATGACAATTGAACCAAACAAAAATACCACTTCCTGAAGTCTTAAGAACATAACGAAAAAGTCACACACAAGTCACGCTTAGCGGTCAATGAAGTGGTTGAGTACTTGTAGAGACAAAACACATTTATTCTCAGTTGTTGCTGGTGGAAGGTGGTATGTATCCGTGATATCATTTTTGTGCGCTTAGGCTGCACCAGACACCATGGTTATAAAAAAAGAGCCCAGCTGAATTTCAAGCATTTCTGATGTGGGTGAACCAATAAATACATAAAGTGCATTTCCCAAATTCCAACTCAGTTCATAAAATCCCATGAAAAAGATTAGATATTTAAAGAAATTAAAACCAAGTTCAATTTAGCAATTTCTTATACATGGACCAAAAAGTAAAGATACCTGCCCTGAGGCCAGATGCAGCAGCTTTTTGAAGACCCTTTTTCTTGATGATAAAACTGGACCCAATAAATAAACTAGAAGAAATAGCCAAGCAAAGACCATTAACATTATCAGAGGAGATTTGTTGAGGGTCCCCAAAGCTACCGGACTGCTGTGAACTCCCCATATAGTTTTTTTCTTCTTCTTCTTCAATAACCGAAAAGCTTCAGTAACACATAAACTTTCTTTTGCCATTCCATCAGAGACCCATTTTCCCAGGCACAATTCTTAACACAATGAAACTCGAAAACCCCAAATATGATTTTTTAAAAAAAAATACAGTGTCAGTGGTTGATTCTGAGGGCAATTTTCAAAAAACAAAGTGTGGACGGACGAAGGAATCAAAGTGAAGAAGACGATAAGAGTCTTCGATTTCTGTTTCTTCTTTGATCGGAGATTCAGCACAGAGACCGATCTTCCTTTTGCTTCTTGTTATGCCAATTTAATTCAAATAACATGCAAATATTCTTATTTTATGAGTATCTGTCCTATTTATTTAACGTTTTTCGTATAGTAAATAAAAAATTTATATTTGTATGATATAGCAAAGTTTGCATTATTACGCTTCATAGCAAATATAAAACTGTATAATTCGTTATACATATACAATTATATAATTCACTGGTCTAAATTGTATAATTTGCTGGCCTAAATTGTATAATTCATTGCTGTCTATTTCGTTGCAATATTTTTATAAAATTTGTTTTGTATACAATTGAATCGAATTAAAATGTATGTATATTGCATAATTATAATTGTATAGCAAGAAGATATATGTTTTTCTCCCGCTTTATATAAAAACAGAAACACAATATATACACTTCTATTGTATAAAGCTAAAGAAAATTGTATTTCACTGCAATTGTATAATTCGTTGGCCTTTTTCTCTGCAATATTTGTATAAAATTTGCATTTGTCTACAATTGAATTGAAGTAAAATGTTTGTAAATTGTATATTTTAGTGTATAACACGAAGATATATGTTTTTGCATATGTATATACAATTTTCTCTCGCTTTATACAAAACAGAAACAGAAATTATACACTTCTGTGTATAAAGCGAGAGAGGCGAGCGAGAATGGGAGAGTGGCGAGCGAGATTTTTGGGAGAGAGGCGCTTGACAAACTTTGACTAACGTTTGCTATGGAGCACAATTAAATTAAACCCTAGCTACTCTATTTATTTTAGGTTATTAATTTGCTATTATATACAATTTTTCCATAAAATTATTGTAACATGTATAATTCAATTTATGTAATTTATAGATATATAAATTTTATTATAGAAATAAAATTGAAAATTCATGCATAAATTTTCAATTGTTTAATTCTCACAAAATAAAATATGTTACATAAATTAAAATAAAAAAATATTTAAATATTATACGTTTTTTTTTGCACGATTTTATTTCTTTTTTAAGTGTTTGTACTAATTCCTTTCTTGGGAAAATATTTTTAAATTATTTTATGCTCTGTTTGAACGATTATTTTATGATATATCATATTTTATCGTGTTATATTTATTAAATATAATATTTAAATGAATGGTATGTTAACCAACTGATGACAAGTATTAATGTGATCAAGTGAAATGGAGCTTGTCTCTAATAAAGTGACAATTCATTTTGATCTCATAAAACATAACATATACTTCTGCGAAGAATAAAGAAATAGCATCAAATCATATTATTTTCCATCATAACAAGGTATTATATGGAAATATTGACTCTTTTAACTTTTAATTTGATAATTATTTAAATATGAATTATTTATTTACGTTAAATATCACTTGACATTATTTTTAAACAAAAAGAGAAAATAGTCTAGTAGAAACATCATTAAATATTAATTGAGTTGTGTTTCAATAAACAGTTGATGATAGTTCTTATATAAATTACTCACACATTTGATAGTTCAAAAATGATATTCACGAAAAATGTCATATCTTATATGTGATATTTATTGAAGACATAGGCACTTATTGAATATTTGAACTCAAGTCAAATTATATTCATTGAACACATAAGCGGCCACATGCATGCTGAGGGTACGCATGCACCTAGCAACTTTTAAATCTTGAGGGTGTCCCTTATTATTAATTTCGAGTCGCCTCACACTATACCAAACATGACATAATATATGTCTTAGTTAAGATTGACATACTATATGTCTTAATTAAGATTAACAATTTTTAAATCCTGATTGTGTCTTATTTTAAATCTTGGTTCGACTCACGCTATACCAAACATGGCATAATATATGTGCCCCATATTTTAAATCTTGGTTCGACTTACACTATACCAAACATGGCATAATATGTCTTAATTAAGATTTCTCTTATGCGAGGTTGGAAGTAAAAATATTTATCATTTAAATAACTCCCTCTTTGTCTATTTTAAAGTTCTATTTCCTAGTATTTATTTGAAGTTTTAATCAAATGTTTTTGGCTTAAATATTTATTTTATGTGTTGGAACTTAGAATTAGTGTTCATACAATTTAATCTTGATATAATATATTTAACAGAAAAATAATTAATTTTATGCTCTTGTTGAGAGTCGAACTCAAGACCTCCCGCTTACTAAACGGGTGCTCTAACCAACTGAGCTACAAGAGCTGTTGCACGTTCTGATTAACTAAAATATGTAATGTCAAATAAATAATCTATTTAAAGTTGGTGACAATTAAGAAGATTGTTAGTAAAAAATAAACAAATAAAGATAATCAACAAATATCAGCAGGAAAAATGTAAGTTTTATCCAATATGTATGCATCGTGTCTAATAATGCAAGTTATTAAATAATAAATTAAAGATAATTAATAAATATTAGTGAGAATATTACTTTATTGTATCTTGTATGTTTTTCATTCACATATTGGATATATAATGGTTTTATAATTCTGAATTTTAAAGTTACTTTTATTATCCTTTCAAAACTAAGCTCAAAATTAAAACTAGCATTATTGTTTCAGAATTTGAATTGGCTAGACGTGAATTAGAATATATAATATTGTGATATTTGTTTTTTCATGCATGTATCTAACACGTCTAGCTAACACAAATAAAATCAATATTAACTCATAATATTTCTATCGACAAGGGTGATAATGGAATGATAAGTATTTCTTCATCATTAATCAGATGTGTCAGGTTCGAATTCTCTTGAATACGAATTTGTTAGGGAGTGTTGTGAGACTTTATGATATAATTCAAATTTAGTTGAACTTTATATTGAATAAGATTTTTTCTTTAAAAAAAAACTCATTTACAAGTCTTATATATATGTCAACTTAGATATTTTTACATCAAATTTATCTTTGAAAAGAAGTTAAAGAGTGAAAATTGTAGCATCTTCAAAATTGTAAAAAATTCTTATTAAGAACAAAATAAAAATTTAAATCACATAATTTCAATAATTGGAATAGGGATGTGATGTTTTAAGAATATTTTATTATATATTTGGAGTCAACCAAACAACAGGTCAACAATTTGAGTTTTTAAGAAGGTAACAAGAAAAAAAATAGTGAAGTTAAAAAGAATAGGAGAATAATTGAAAATAAATTGACAAAAGATAGAACATATTCAATGAGCAAAAGGAGGTACAACAATAATTATATAACTAAGTAAGGAATATTTAAGGGAAACGAAATAAAAGGAAAGACACATATTAGCTGTTTTTATTGATTAAAATTTGGAGTTTAAAATATTAAAAAATTGAATAATAATATAAATGCAAATGAAAAATACAGAAATTGGTATATTGATAGACGTTGATAACAAATATAGTTGATGATAGTAATTAGAAATAATTATTATCGTTTTGATCATTTAATAATGATGATTGATAATGAAAATTTTGTAATCGTAACATATAGTAGTGATACTAGTAAACATGTTAGGTGTTGGTAATACTAATAATTCTAATGGTGGTATGCTTTATTATGTTAATAGCAGTAATGGTTTTAAAAAACATGTTATAAATAATGACAATGATAGATCTGATAGAAGAAATAATTTGTTGATAATCCTTTTTTTTTTTATCAAAATCTTCTTAGAACCTCTTCATAATACATAACATTATATCAAGTATTTAAAGAATTTAAATTTATTTAGATCCATTTATTCATTTTGTTCATTTTTAATTATCATATTGCGTTTATCAAAAGTCAATTTGACTATTTTAAAGTTAAAGCAAATTGCATTGATTCAATATTTTTGATAAATTTACCATTGGAGAGTGAATATGAGATCTTCTAGGTCAATCCTAGAGCTAACACAGAGACGTCAGAGAGAGTAAATAACTGTTTGTTATATTGATTAAAAAGAATGAATACAAAATGATATTTACATGTTAAATAGTAGCTACTATTTATAAACTAACTACATTTAAGTAATCAATTAACATTCTAATTAACTAGTGGACGTTCTGTTATAACAGAATGCCAGCTGTACATTTTCAGCTTATAGTCTAATTAGCCTTTCTCTATGATCATCTCAACAACCCCCTTCAAGCTAGGTGACATAAACACGTTCAAGACTCCTAGCTTGGACATAGATGATAGTGTTGATAGCCTCCAAACCCTTTTGTCAACAAATCTACTTTCTGCTCACTTGTTGAAATATGCTTTGGGTATGCCCTTGTTGTACATTCTATCTAATGAAGTGACACTCTACCTCTATGCGCTTTGTCCTCTCATGAAACACATGATTGTTTGCTATTTGTATGGCGGACTTACTATCTATAAACAACTTAATAGGTGTGGCAATTTCAGTGCCAGACATTTAAACAACCCAACCAGCCAGGTTAATTCAGATACTGTCAAGGCCATGCTCCTATACTCTGATTCTGACGAACTTCTAGCTACTGTATTTTGTTTCTTAGACTTCCATGATATCAGGGTTTGTCCAAACTTCACAATGTAGCCAGTTATAGACCTTCTTGAGTTTGGGAAACTTGCCCAATCAGCATCACAAAATGTTGTCAATACACCCTTCCCTTCTGCATGGATTAAAATTCGAAGTCCTGGCTCATTTTTTATGCCTCTTACTACCCTGCGTGCTACCTCTAAATGAGACTTCTTAGGTGCCTACATGAACTAGCTTAGAGTTTGAAAAATATAGGCAATGTCAGGCCTAGTTAGTGTCAAATAAAGCAACTTCCCTATCAACCTTTGATAACCCCTCACATCTTGTAGTGGTGGATCTTCTTGCAGACCATGCTGTTGATCATACTCCAAGCTTGTGAGTCTTTTATTTTGTTCAAGAGGTGTAATTGTTGGTTTGAAGTTGATGTACCGTGATTTCACGGTACTTTCAATGCTTTTTTCTTAAGTTTAGTGTGTGTATAAAGCCTTTTTGTATTGATTTTTGATGTAGTTTTGTATTTATTTCCAGGAAATATGTCAAAAGGAGAACGTGGAGATTTTGAGCTGAAATTGCAGAAGTGACCACCTACGGACCTCACGAT